TAAATTTAACCCCATGTTTGATGTCTAAATATGACAAATGATACATCATTGGAAAGCTCATCTTATGCTCTACTTTTAGAATCTGCAATAAAAATTGCAAATTTGCAAAAAATGAAATTTTTGTTGCAAAATTTTGTTTTAAATTTGAAATGTTTGCAAAAAAAGGCCAACAAATGATAAAATATATCTTGACCATGCCATTTCAAATACGCCAAAAATTTAGAAAAATTTTGAATGACCTGATGTGTAATGAAGAAAATCTAAAAAGGTGCATCTTTCTTTTGACGGGTTGTATGCAAATCATTTTCAAAATTTTCTTTGCAAAACATTTGCAGTTTATTTCCTCATATAAGGGAAAAAGTAGTCATTCAGGCAGTAAGCCTGGGGACTCAGGCAAATGGTATAAAAGCCTGGTTTTAGACCTAAAGGGAGGGCTTTGGGTATTTAAGAAAAGTCAGAGAATTTCAACATTCTCAGACCAATACTTCATCTCTTTAGCTTAACGACCTGATCTGGTGTAAACCTTTGATATATTTGCAACATCAGGTTGGTAGTGGCGAGCAATTAATTTCTTTAGCAAATTCTTGTCTTAATTGATGTTCTTTACATAAATTTCTATTCTATTAAAGATAATCGATTTCCTAGATCCATTTTTAGATCTATTTTTTGCGTGTCTTATATTACCGTAGATATATAAATATATATATATGATGATTCTTAAATACCAATGAATAAGAAATGTGATAAATATTTATTTTTTGTTGGGGGGGGGGGGCATTTAATGTCCTCAATGGAAGTTTCTTTGTTTTTGAAGCTCAGAAAAAAACATGTGGGTTGAAATAAGGATTTAGAACAATATCTTACTAAGATCTTTGTACGGTGGTAGTCGATTATATCAATATAATGAAGATGACATTCGATCTTAATTCTGATTTATGTCCAGCTTTATTAATATAATCGCCTACCACCGTACTTGAATTAAAAATTCCATATCTTATTATAATAGAAAATAAAAATCTATCCTGGAATTGTTTTTTCTACATAACCAACACTTTAAGTGAACGAAAGTAAGTTTGTGATTAAAAAACATCTCCAAAAAGCATTTAAAAGATGTTCAGTAATTATAAGCATGAAACTGTAAACTGGCTTAATTAATAGTTTGAAAGAAAAACAGTTTACAAATGAAGAGAATTTTAATATAAATGAACAGACAGTATAAATTACGTACATTCAGCTCATCTTCTTTGTATGCAACCAATAACAATATATTTAGAAACAAATATTATTATTAATTACTCAAATAATTTTATTTTAGCAATATTCTATACTAAAAAAAAATTAAGAAGGCTGTCAATGCAAATATTTGCATCCTGCACTTCCCTATCATGAATTTAAGGGCAGAAATAAGAAAGAGGGTATTAGACCCCCCCCTCCCCTCCCCTCCGACTGAAAATAGCCCAACTGGTATAGGGTTAAAGCCAAAAAAACCAACCTGTTGGTCCAAAGCTGTCACAAGATGAATCAATTTCCTGTTTTCTTCTGACAGCCTAAATCAATATTTTAATTATTAAAAAGCTAATTTTAAATTTTCGCGGAAAACAATTCCTTTAAAGTTTTTCCTCGTGGGAATTTTATTACAACCAAAAAACGATCTATTTTCCTTACCGTAAACCAACATTTTTTTTATTTTATTAAAAAAAATTTTTTCTACAAACGCTTCTGAAAAATGTACTTCTTTAGGGAAATCTGAATAAAGTTCCGGCAACATTTTTTTTTCTCGCAGTTGAATTATTTTTTAAAAATATCTTTTTAAACCTAATGTCTAAGAACTTAGCTATTTTTTATTTATTTTTTATTTTTTTATTATTTTTTTAATATATTTTGCTAAATCAAATTGCGAGTAATCAGTTATCTAAAAAAAAAACTGATTTTCCATAAAATTGTATGAAGGATTTGTGTAGCAGTGTAATGATCAATCTTCTTCTTTAAAATAAAGATTAAATTGAATTTAAGTCCATGCACAGAGTGTGTCCAAATAAAAAAATTTTTGCTTTGCAATTTCCAAAATGTGGGGAAAAGATCATACGACCTACGACCTTTTTTAAACACTCTTACAGTTAGAATTAAATTTTAAGAACATCTTTTTAATTCTCTAGATGTCTATGTCTTTCAGACACTCTTATAAAGTATTAAAGTAACACTCTAGAATTTACAATGATAGATTCTTTTTGCAAAGAATACTAGAAACTCAAAGTGGAATAGGTTTTATTTCCATGTCACTTAATTTGAAGTATAACTTTTTATAATAGAATTCTATAATTTTGTTTGAACCAACAAGTTTTTTGAATATAGTATTTTAGTAAAATTTTATGCATCTATTACGATTTAAGAATATTTATACAGTGCAGTTTTCCCTATACTGACAGTTACATAAAGAGTTGATGAATTGAACCTTTGAAAGTTTTCTCCGGGGATTTTGCGGATTTTACCATGCTAAATAGTTTAGTAGATTTCTTCTACATTTTTATTCATGAACCATCGAGATGCGTTTACTCTTTTACTGTCTAGCTTAAGTACCACTCTCTGTATATTCTCTGGTTGTCATATATTCTGGGGGGGGCGTCTTACGCCCATGTCCACCCCCCCCTCTCCTCCTGCCCTTCTGGGTTAGTAAACTCTCAAATACTCTCTTAATATACTTTTGTTTGCCCAATTATCTAAATAGTTAAAGCAGTAATCTCTGTTTGTCAGTTTGTTTGTTTGTGTGCAAGATCAAATTTTGATTGGAAAACTTGATAGAGTCACAGGATAGAACCCAGACAAAGCTGGGTTCCCAATACAATCCGTCCTTTTATTCAGAACCTTGTCCTGCTCAGTCCTTCCTTACCTCTTTATTTTCTCCTCTGTCCTTGTATCCTGGACCTTGTCCTGCTCAGTCCTTCCTTACCTCTTTATTTTTAATCCTTTTATCCAGAACCTTGTCCTGCTCCGTCCTTCCTTACCTCTTCATTTTCTCCTCCGTCCTTTTATCCAGAACCTTGTCATGCTCCGTCCTTCCTTACCTCTTCATTTTCTCCTCTGTCCTTGTATCCTGAACCTTGTCCTGCTCCATCCTTCCTTACCTCTTTATTTTCTCCTCTGTCCTTGTATCCTGAACCTTGTCCTGCTCCGTCCTTCCTTACCCCTTTATATTCTCCTCCTTCCTTGTATCCTGAACCTTGTCCTGCTCCATGCTTACTTTACCCCTTTATTTTCTCCTCTGTCCTTGTATCCTGAACCTGGTCCTGCTCCGTCCTTCCTTACCTCTTCATTTTCTCCTCCAACCTTGTATCCTGAACCTTGTCCTGCTCCGTCCTTCCTTACCTCTTTATTTTCTCCTCTGTCCTTGTATCCTGAACCTTGTCCTGCTCCGTCCTTCCTTACCTCTATTTATTTTCTCCTCCGTCCTTGTATCCTGAACCTTGTCCTGTTCCATCCTTTTATTTTAGATCTTGTACTCCGTCCTTGTATGCTGAACCTTGTCCTGCTCCGTCCTTCCTTACATCTTTATTTTCTCCTCTGTCCTTGTATCCTGGACCTTGTCCTGCTCCGTCCTTCCTTACCTCTTTATTTTCTCCTCCGTCCTTGTATCCTGAACCTTGTCCTGCTTCATCCTTTTATTTTAGATCTTGTATCTTGTACTCCGTCCTTGTATCCTGAACCTTGTCCTGCTCCGTCCTTCCTTACCTCTTTATTTTCTCCTCTGTCCTTGTATCCTGAACCTTATCCTGCTGGTTCTTCTCAAGTTTCTCCAGTTCTGTCAGGGTTCCCAGACACAGCTTACTCAGTTTAGTCGTGTTCTCCTGAGTAAGGAAGGTCCATCTTTATTTGGCTAGTTCTAAATATCAAAGGGTTCCCCACAATGTATGAGCATAAAATGACGACCACAAACTCTTGAAATATGACGATCTAAATGTTAGATTGGGCTTTCTGTTTTCAATATGGACTATTAATGGTCTACGAAATTGTTTAAATACAGTAGTTTGTTTTCAAATACAGAAATGAATGGCTGTATACCTCAGGACTCCGTTACTTGCATAAAGTCATCTTTAAAGTCTTATACTTTGTGGGTAACCCTGTAGGAGAAATAAACGTAGTGCCCAATAATACGAAATGTGATTCAAAATCAAATTATTCAAAAATCGTTCACTTTTAGAGCAAAGATTTTAAATTCTATGTTTCTTAATTTGTAATAATTTTAATTTGTCAATTAAATCTAAACTAACCTTTTGTTTTTCTAGTGCATGCTGCTGTTTATCTAAGATCAGCTTCAGATCCGAACTTAATCCTAGATATTTTATATTTAAACTTAATCCTAGTTATTTTATATTTAAACTTAATCCTACATATTTTAGATTCAAACTAATCCTAGTTATTTTATATTTAAACTTAATCCTACATATTTTAGATTCAAACTAATCCTAGTTATTTTATTTTTATACTTAATCCAAGATATTTTATATTTATACTTAATCCAATATTGTCCCCCCCCCCCTTCCTTCACTGTATTTCAAGTTGCATTTAGATATTTTATATGTGGATTGTTAAAGATAAATCTTGAGCAATTGGTTTACCTTGTTGGGTTCCGTCTCCTTTTAGATGAACAATCTCTTTTTGCGCCTAAACCATAATGCGTTGAATAAAGCATAATAAATAGAATTTTAAGAATTGAGATATACATTTAGTAAAATAAAATTTAGGAATTTTAATTTAATTTAAAAATATGTAATCACATCAGACCAGAGCTGAAAACTTTAGAATGGGATATCCTTAATCCCGATCAATTAATTAATCTGGAGATTAATAACAATAGGAGAACAAGCATAATCCCAATCGCTTGATCTTTCATTTTAATTGTTTTAGTGATCAAAGCTCCCATCCTTTTACCATTACGGATATCGAATGAAGATTAAATTAATCTGCAGATTAACAATTGATCGAGATCAAAAGTTTCCGGCTTTGTTTATGCAAAGGAATTGAGTCTTTGTCACTTCATTAAATATGCTAATCGTTATATCTTTGCAACCAGCAAGTGTAAACATATTTCATACTAATATTATTAGATCTTCCAAATTAACCACAATTTTACTCTTTAAATTTCTTTGCACCCACCAGAATTAGGGTTAAGGGGAAGTTCACTTGATATTACGCTTACAGTGCCTTTAAAGTGAAATGATAATTTTAGCTGTAAGGACTTGTCTGTGATTTACAAGAAAATATTTTCATAACGCAGCAGCATAACACTAATACTTCTTTAAATTTCTCATTGTTTCACGCATAAAGCGAAGTTCAACATTATTTTTGTGATGATCCTCGAATGCTTTTAATCTCGATTCTCGGTTAGGTTAGGTTATATTTAGGAAATTTTAGGAAAAATTATATTGAATTTATTGAGATCAATGCTTGAGGAAATATTATATTGAATTTATTGAGATCAATGCTTGAGGAAAAAAGATATTGAATTTATTGAGATCAATGCTTGAGGAAAAATTAAATAAAATTTATTGAGATCAATGCTTGAGGAAAAATTATATTGAATTTATTGAGATCAATGCTTGAGGAAAAATGATATTGAATTTATTGAGATCAATGCTTGAGGAAAAATTAGATTAAATTTATTTAGATCAATGCTTGAGGAAAAATTATATTGAATTTATTGAGATCAATGCTTAGGAAAAATTATATTGAATTTATTGAGATCAATGCTTGATCCCGGGATTCACAAAAGTTCGGTCTTCCGATCTTCCAAATAGATTAATTTGATTTTTAGATGAATATCACAATTGAGTAATCATGATTTCTTGACGACTCCTTAATTTTGTATCCCCTCAATCCTTACCTTTACATCCTGTTTAAGTCTGACAATCTCCTTCCCCTGCTGGATCAGAAACTCCTTCAAGTTGGAAATCTCCTTGCTTACATCCTTACCCGAGAAAATTAAATTTTTTTCTCATGCGAAATTTTTTAAAAATAAATTATTCCCCCCCCCTTCCCCTTCTGAAACACTGTAAAAGGAGAAATATTAGGAGATAGATGTAGAGATTAGATAGAATTTGACCCATAAAACTAGAGCCTATTCCTCCCCCCCTCCCTCCGTCTAAAAAATATATCTTTAGGTTTTTCCATGTTATATATTTCTGTATGAAAAAGATGTGGTTTTTAAACAAAAAAATTTAATTTAATTCCTAGAATCAAAAAATTGCAAAGATAGAAAAAGATTGTTAGTTCTGATCAAAAATTAAAAAGAGTTATAGTTTTGATCAAGGTATTGTACTAAAGGTTAGTGTACATTTCAATGTGAATTATTTAAACGTCCTTCCTTACCTCAGTCCCTAGGTTAAAAAAAATAAGTTCATTGGAAATTTTGGAAAATTGACAATTATTACCACGGAAGTGTGGCACCTGTTATTTTTCAAATATATAAATTTTAGATATCTAGCTTCATTATTGTTTAGATATCTAGCTTCATTATTAAAAAAAGTTTTTGACTATTTTTAATTTTACTGAAACACTGAAACTACCCTATTCATAAAAAAATTAACTTGTTTACAACTATGAAGTTAAAAAAGTCAAGAAGTTTGAGCGTTCCAGTGTAAGCCATTATGAAAACAACCACAGGGAGGGGGTTGAACCCCCCCCCACTCCTCCAATCATGATATGGTTACAGTTAAACCAAATTTACAATGTTATTATCTTCAAAATATGTTCAAAATTAACTAAAATACACTCTGTTCGATGTGTTTAATCTCTGGATGCAACAGTGCAACGTGTATACAGTGTTTAAATGTTGCAAAATTAATGATGTTTACGTTAAAATAAGTTAGAATTACAACTCCTGACTCATACAACAAAACAAATTGTTTAAATTGAAAGTACATCTAATATATAAACAGAAAATATGTATTTTAAGCATATTCCTTGTTGTCAAATAATTAATGTTCTATTCAATATAATAATGTTTTAAATTTAATTTAAAATAAAAGCATGCTAATAAAAATGTTAGATTTAGTTTTTAACTTTTAAGCCACCGTTTTTATACCGTAATCTCCTATGGCGAAAATGTGCGTGGATTTTCTGTTAAAATGGCAAGATTTTCAAAAATCATAAAATTCAAAATTTTTACAGCCACAATTTTTCAATTGCGACAAGTAAATCTTCCTCGGGGTCATGTCAGTTGCAACAAAAAATGTAGCCCCACGCACCCCTGACCCTCTAGTAAAAGTAAATTCAACCTAAAGTGTGACCGTGTCAACCTTGTTGCACCGGCTAGTCCTATTGAGTGTCTGTTTTATTTACCCAATGTCCCGGCGATACAGAACAAACCGGGACCGAAAAGGTTGACGCTGCTCAGAAAATTCAAATGTACTACGGCTGCCCGTGACCCGATCGGTCCCGTTATTTTGACGTGTTTTAGATACAAACTAACAAGCCGAATTTATAAAAACATTTTTTTTTCTGACATTTTTTTTACAATTTAGCAAAAATGTCTATGGAAGGGTTTGCAATAAAAAGCGGAAAACTGCATATTTATACAAAATGCTCTTATTAAATTAGCATAAACACTGCACTTCCGGAAACTTACTTTCCCAAAGTGTTTTCTAAGATAAACATTATAGACATTGTAGACACTTAAAAAATTAAAAAGAGGAATTTTTCTTTGAAATATTTAATTTTTTTTCCTTTTTAAACTTCTCTTCGATATCTTTATCACTGCCCATTTTGTCTGAAATCTGATTATTTTCAAAATGTTATAAAATTCATAAAATCTAAAAATATTTTAAATGTATGTAAAATTAAAGATGATAGAGGGTGTCCCACGAAACATGACAGTTGCTGAATATTTTAAAATGTCTTCTTCCATAATTTGTTAAGTTGTTTGATACCAAAGAAAATAATAATAAACATTATACGCCAGTTTTATTATAGTAAAATCGATCCCAAATTAAGATTTATTGGAGTAAAAGATTTTGTTACCGAACTAAACTGCAAAAAGTCTATAAATCTTATCCAGTATTTGGAAGACGACATTTTAAACTATTCATCAACTGTCATGTTTCGTGGGACACCCTGTATATAAAAATGTTTCAAGAGAAGATCTCTACAAGTTTACAATTTTCGATCAAAATAATGACAAAACTCTTTTTTCATATAAATAACATAAAAATTTTATAACCACAGCGATATCACCTTTTTTATTAATTAAACAATTTGTAAAATTAATATTAAAAAATAAATGTTTACAAATTGTGAATATTGGGGCTATGTTGTTTACTATGATCTATTTTACGCTCTCATAGATCCGGTAATTTTTTGTAGCCCAAGACACATAAATTTCAGAATTAATTTTTGCGCAAGAACTTGAAAGCTTTAAATTGCAGTGCAACATACCTTGTTGTTCTTAATGCATCCCTAATTATTTTGGATCAGTTCTGTAATTTTTACAAACTTTTATTATAATAATTATCATTAATGACTTATTTTCCAAAACAAGAACCACCATGTTTATAATGGGGGGGGGGGGTGAGGTTTTTTGCTTCGTAATAAACTATAGAGAGTGGGATATATTTTCACAAGATTTGCACATTTTTTAAAAAAATTATTTGTTCAATATTAAAGGGAATGTAGACGTATTTCAAAAATTTACTCTTGCTTTCTCTACAAAAATTTATTAATTTCAATTGTATATACAAACAGAAAAAAGGAAGGAACGGATATTGAGTTTTTGTCACAAACTTTGATTTTCTAATCCCTAAATCATTGTAAACCAAATGTTATAGATCTAAAATGTTACAAACTATAAATTTTATTATGATCAAATGAAAGGGGAGAATGAAAATAACAGTAAAATCGGTATTCAAACTTGTTAAACTAACTTGTAGCGATCAACTCTTGATTTTCAATCAAGTGGTTTGCGATCAAGTGGTATTCTTGCCAAATAATCAAAGTTTAAAATATCAAAGGTTTACACCATTAGATTGCAAAGATAAAGGGATTATAAATTTGAGTTTGTGGCAAAGACTCAATTCCTTTACAAATTTGTATCATGCATACTGCATTCACACTACAAACACTTGCTTATAGCTACTCGATTTCAAAGGACACCGTTGTGAATCCGACATGAAGCTCTTTAATCGGAGGATCACTCTAAATTACGTCTATTATAGTCCCTTAAATCATGAGAACTACAGATTTGTTTCCTGTGAAATGCTGAACTTTGCATTCTTGTTTCTGCATATAGAATATTCACGTCATATATTTCACTTTTTCACATTTGTAAAATATAATTGTAAACGTCACTTAAATACAACACTTACACATTCTCCTTTTTCAAAAAAGTGAAAAGAACCAATTTCTCTCCTCAAAACAAAATTGTCTAGCCCTTACATCTTTGCAACTAGATGTTGTAGACCTTTAATATTTCAAACTTACATCTTTGCAACTAGATGTTGTAGACCTTTAATATTTCAAACTTACATCTTTGCAACTAGATGTTGTAGACCTTTAAGTTTAAGTTTAAGTTTTAACTATGAAAGGTTAAAAAGATTGTAATTAAATATTTATAGTTCGATGATCTCTGTCTTCATTTTAACAAGTTTCATCGAGATCAAGAATTCGCCAGATTTTAAGTTCTGTCCTTATACTCCCCCCAGGGACAAGGTTAAGGTATACTTGAATACTAATCTTCATATATAAAGGATAAAACTGCAGAAAGGGGGGGGGTATTATGAAGTATTTTTTTCTATTAGCAAAATTAAAATTCTCTTTTTTCACTTTGATAAAAAGTTCAATTGTTATAAATCAAATTTAAAATAACTCAAATTTTTTTTTGAAAATAATTTGGGTCGAAATTTTAAATCTATAAATAGAAATTAAATATAATTTTTACCATTTTTGAATCGAAATCTCACCCCCCCCCAAAAAAAATGTTCCCCTGCAGTAAGATTAAGTGAGTAGGCCCGGCTGACCCCTGCACTGTGCAGCTGGGCTAAAAAGAAAGTAGGAGAAGAGAAAGTGCAGAAAATCCACGCATGCGCATGATGTACCGAGAAATCACAAATTTTCGCAAGATTTTGCTTAACGAAGATTCACAAAACACGGTCTCTGCAATAATCCGACAAATGAAGATTTATTATAAGTCACTCTTTAATAAGATTCTGAAAATCTTATTCAACCCTGAACAGGTTGGGGGGCGCGTTTGGCACCCCCCCCCCTGTATTTTTCCGAAATCAAACCGTTACAGAAACACAGTTTAACAATTCAACCATAGATGTCGCCAATTTTGCCTTTTTTTGTACAATATCATTGTCAATTTTTTCAAATCTAATGTTGACCGTTTTTTAAACGATTGTTTTTAAAAAAACGATCGTTTTTGAAAAAAACAAATTTTATTTACAATTATGTTAACGATCGTTAACGAAGGGTTGTCGTTAACGATCGTTAACAAAACGACGAATATTATCAAAACGGTAATTTTTGGAAAAACGATCGTTTTTGAATGAAAAAAATACATGCAACTTTATTGAATGTCGTCTTACATATGAAGATAAAAAGTTGTGGGGGATATTTTGATATTTTCCTAAAAACTACTCGATGATAAATACAGATGCCCTTCACGATCGTTTCTCAAAAAAATGAAAACGTTAACATCCCTAACTGTGGTAGGCGATTATATTAATACAATGAAGACGAATTTCGGATTTAATTTTGATTTATACCAAGATTCTGAACAGCATGGCCGGATACACAAAAATACGGAAACAAAGAGAAGCTGTCAATTAAAAAAGTTTCTCTTTAATTAATTGTAAAGTTGTCATTCTATAACAGCTTGTTCATATTAAATACTTAAATAAAAAAGTCGTCTTCATTATATTAATATGATCACCTACCACGGTATGATCTGTTGAGAGATTAAATAAAACTAGTGAGATATAAACTATGAGATATGAACTATGAGATATGAACTATGAGATATGAACTATGAAACTTTTAAAAGATTGCGATGAAAGCTATTGAGTTATTTTAGATCAAAATTAAAACTATTACAATGAAAACTATTGAGATTTTGCATTGAAAACTGTTAAAGGTTACAATAAAATGAATGAAAACTATTGAGAGATTACAATGAAAACTGCTGAGAGGTTACAATAAAAGTAAATTAAAACTTTTGGCAAATCGCAACGAAAACTGTTAAAAGGTTTCAATAAAAAGAGAAAAAATTAATAAAGTTTAAACTGAAAAGATAAAATATTATTGGTAAATTGAGCTGAAAACTGCAAAAAGAAAACTGTTGATATTTTTATGCCTGATAATATTGTTATAGAACTCAAAAAACAAATGAGATGAAAATAATGTTTTTAAAATGACATTTTCATTTTTATTTTTGGCCCAATTTTCTAAAATATATGTATTCCTTCAATATAAAAAAGTTGCTCAGTCAGTTTTGAAAAATGTTGGCGATGTAAAAAGTAACCTTTAGGTTTAATAAATAGGGAGAAGCGGTTCAACTACGTCTATGTGGTTCATATCCTTCATTCATTAAATCTGGTCAAAAGTTAAACGTTATAAATCTATATTTCATATAAAAAGTAGTAATCATAACTCAGAAACCCCAAGACCAATTTTTCTCAGATTATTAACAATCAAAAAATTTAAAATATTTGTCTTTATTTTACTATTACTACAATTATTTATATACAGGGCGTCCCACGAAACATGACAGTTGATAAATAGTTATGAATGTCGTCTTCCCTATACTGTATTAGATATTAAAGGCTTTTTGCAGTTTATTTCGTTAGAAAATCTTTTGTTTAAATATAATTTACTTTGAAATCAATTATAATAAAAAATGACTCCCAAATAATATTTTTATTATTGTCTTTGGTATCAAACAACTCTACATATTATGGAAGAAGACATTCTAAACTAATTTACAAACTGTCATGTTTCGTGGGACACCCTGTACATAAAGTAAACGCAATAACATTAAACAGAATGTTTAAAAATTGTACAATGTACATAATTATTAACATATGTACTCTGATTTTTCAGAACTCGTATATTTTATAGGATTGCATTTAAGAAAACTTTCAAACATTGTCATTTTTGACATTTCCTCTCCCCCCCCCCGCTTTAAAAAATGTCACATTAATTTGGTAATAATTTTGGTCTTATTTGAAAAAGAAGCCTTATTTTTGAATTTTGAAAAGAATAAAAATGTACAATGTACAGTACAAAGCGTACTGCATCCCCCAGGGTGCACCAAAACATTGCGTAACAATTCACATATTTTCAATCATGCTGAATCTTAATGTATTTTTATTATATTAGATTAGATTTAAAAATATATTTAAGAAGAGCATACTTCAGTCCAGACACCAGACAGAGAGGGGTTGGATTAGTAGGTGTTAAATTTCAGTTTTAAATTGGAGAAATGCATTTTCAATTCTTCTTTTCTAATACTTCTTATATTATATTGTCCATCAGGAATTGTGTTTGTGTTTGACAACTGTTTATAGCTCGATTTCAAATGGGAGTAAAATTGACATAAATCTGGTCGATTTTTAGTTCACAGTGAATATGGCAGCAACAGAGAAAACAAAGTACAGAGATATATTTAATGCTAAAATATGCGATATTTTCCACAACAGGTTCCATTGTGTACAACTAGAGTACACGACCAATAAACAGCTACGCCTGTATTCAGGGATGTATAATGATCCTTTATATAAGTACAAAACCTTTAAAAATAGACTGATTCATACATTTCATGTTTTAAGTTGAAAGTTATTTTTAGAAAATTGTAAAACTTAACCACCATGAGTGGTTATTACATGAAACAACTGACCGTTAGATGGCAGTCAATAACCTTTTGTGTAAATGTGGCATGTCGTGCCGGTACAACAATAGGCCTGCTAAGTATATCGAGTCTGTGTATATCTAGTCTGTGTATATCTGGTCTGTGTATATCATATCTAGTCTGTGTATATCTAGTCTGTTTATATCTAGTCTGTGTATATCTAGTCTGTGTATATCTTGTCTGTGTATATCTTGTCTGTGTATATCTAGTCTGTGTATATCTGGTCTGTGTATATCTAGTCTGTGTATATCTAGTCTGTGTATATCCTGTCTGTGTATATCTTGTCTGTGTATATCTAGTCTGTGTATATCTGGTCTGTGTGTATCTAGTCTGTGTATATCTAGTCTTTTATATCTAGTCTGTGTACATCTAGTCTGTGTATATCTAGTCTGTGTGTATCTAGTCTGTATATATCTAGTCTGTGTATATCTAGTCTGTGTATATCTAGTCTGTGTATATCTAGTCTGTGTATATCTAGTCTGTGTGTATCTAGTCTGTGTATATCTAGTTTGTGTATACTGTATATCTAGTCTGTGTATATCTAGTCTGTGAACATTTAGTCTGTGTATATCTAGTCTGTGTATATCTAGTCTGTGTATATCTAGTCTGTGTATAACTAGTCTGTGTACATCTAGTCTGTGTATATCTAGTCTTTGTATAACTAGTCTGTGTATATATAGTCTGTGTATATCTAGTCTGTGCATATATAGTCTGTGTATATATAGTCTGTGTAAATATAGTCCGTGTATATATAGTCTGTGTATATCTAGTCTGTGTATATCTAGTCTGTGTTTATCTAGTCTGTGTATATCTAGTCTGTGTATCATATGTTAAAGATTTGTGTATCACACTAAGAATATAGAGGAGGTGACCCCCCCCCCCCCCCCTTTTCAAAATCCAATCCCATAGTTTTAACATTTTTTCTTCACACATATTAATATAATTGCTATCGCCCCTGGGGCCATATTAATTACTGTATAATTTATATATGCTCATGATTCCCAAGTGATTTTCTAAATTTTCTCAGATAAAAATGTTCAAAATTCAAATATAATTTATTTAAGTCTGAACACAAGAAAGTATTTGTATATTTACAATGTTGACAATGCACAACAATTATTGTTTTGATAAATTGGCTAAAAAACTAAGCAATTCTTTAAGTTGCTAAGGTACTCAATGTTTTGTTAAAATTATTCTAAAAGTTCTTGTTAACAAATATTAATACAATCTTCTGTATGGTTTCCCGGTAAATGGTTGTGAATATGTTGCATGGTTTTGCCGCCAGGAGTAGACACTGTCGAAATCAGCTGATCGCCGCGTGTGTTTCATTTTCTTTTCTTGAAAAGGAATTCCTGATTTAACAAACCACATATCTTTAACAGATCGCCACAAGGAACTATCATAATTCTCTTCTCTAAATAACAGAATTTTAAATATCTTAAAACTGTGTCATTTTTGTGAATAGAATTTAAGAAAAAGAACTTTTGATTGGATTTTCAAATTCAAAGACATTTCCAAAAAATAAATGAAACTGTAGAGTCACGTGATTTTGAGTTCCCAACGTCCGACCATACCTTGGTCTGAGATAACCTTTATTTTTCTATTTAAAAATTGATTATTTTTGATTAAGCAAGAGAAACATTGGAAAAAATTGTCATTTTTTGCACGTACTGTAAGATAGAAAGACATATGATATGTACTTCATTATTGCTCATTAAGGTCACATGTGTACAGGGTACCAATGTGAATCAGGGAATCAATTCTTTTATGATTGTGTTCTGGCGTTCACCTGAAATTATTTTTACGTACAGCAGCTTTGATAACATTTATGTGGTGGCGTTTCGTAAGATAATTATCAAATTAGGCGCGTACACAAGATTTTACTTAGGGGGGGGGGGGTAGTTTTTGCGAAATTTATTTTTGCCCCCCATAGCGATTTTTACCCCTCCGGGCATTAAAAATGCTGTTATTCTTCATTGTAGTCCTTCTATATATTATAGTGTTTCCCTCAGTATAGTTGTATATTACTCTCTAAAGTCCTAAGTAGTCTCCTGAGACTACTCCTCTTTTTAGTCCTGAAGGACTTTATATTATTATGCATATCTCTTTATAGTTCTACATTACTCTCTGAAGTCCTGAGTAGTCGCCTAAGACTACTTTCCTTTGTAGTCCCAATTCAAGGACTATATATTGTAATATATCCCTCGGTATTATTCTATGAAGTCGTGAGACTACCTCCCTTTGAATCCCTCTGTATTTGCGGGAAGACATGCCAAACACTTGCATAATATGCATATAGCTATTGCTGATTATCAAGTAAGGTAGGGGTGGAGTTTTTGATAAAAGGGAAATACTAAGGTAAAATTTGAAAATAAAGTGCGCGAAGCGCCAAGAAAAGTTTCGGAACACCCATAAGTAGATGAGATCAAGCTAATTTTTTATAATACTACAGGCCCCCCCCCCTGAACAAGAGGACTACTGCCCCCCCCCCTGTGTACGCGCTTGTCAAATAATTATTAAAAAGTTTGTTATCAAGAAACTTCTTACATAGAATGTATTTAAGGAACGGTTAATTTTCAATATTTGTTTTCATCAGAATTTTTTTTTCCGAAAATTATAGTTCTTCTTCTACTTCTCAATTTTGTTCTCTGATCTTAGATTGATTTTAAAAATAGAAAATTGTTTCTGAAAAATGTTTATATACCTTGGAGTTTTGATATTTTGAGAATGCTGATATGACGTAGCTCGTTCAAGTCTTGGGAGATTTCTAAAATAAAATATGTGTAATTTCAGATCAATCAACCATGCATAGACATAAACGAGATGCAAATCCATTCTACCTTTACTTTTCAATCTTTTCATTCTACCTAAACATTGTAAACATTCTTTTTTCATTAGAGTTTATTCTTTTTAAAGGAAATACAAACATAATTTCAAATGATCCTTTACTTATAGAGCTAGCGGTATGTCAAATTCAACCCCTTTAAACCTTTGTAAATGATTAAATATTTGATTAAGGTTTAAAGGGTACCGTTGTGAATCGACATGCTTCTCTTTGTTTAAATAAAGGGTAAAGCTTGAAATTATAACGACAATCCCTTTAAACAAAGATAAAGTTTGAAACTTTGAATAAAGTGCTCAGAAATAAAAAATCACTTTCCTAAAGTGACAATGACTTATCATGAATAATAAAAAAAGTAAAAAAAAACAAAGACATTGTTATTTTTTCTAAACAAAAAGTTGTTCAATGTAATTAAGAGAAAGTAATTTTCTGAAACACTAAAGATAAAATGAATAAAAAAAAGAAAAAAATTCTTAGAATAATATATTAAGAATTTAGTATTAAATGTTTGAATTTAATTAAAGATATTTAGATAAATCGTTAAAACAAACAATAAAATGTTAATTTTGTAAAACAAATCTGAGCTTGTTTTCATGGTACATGTTGATTGGATTATATATGCTTAATCGGTTTATTCAATAAACGTCAAAACGGCTGAACCGATTGGGGCCAAAATTTTATGTGCACCTCACATGACCCCAGAAAAGTGGTCTCCAAAATTTTTAGATTTTTTTAAAATTTGAAATCCACGGAAAAAAATGACATTAAATCTGCAAAAAAGTTTTGTTTTATATTGTAACAAAGAGAGCCACAGTTAAAAGTTGCAAAAGAAGAACACTTGGCATATGATTTCTCAATATGATAAACTTCAGAAACTTTGTGGATCCTCTTGAAAAGGAAAAAAAATTGAATAAAAATTAAAAAATAACTTTGAAAATTTTTTTTTCAAAAATTTAATTTTATACCCAACCGTGCAAAATAATTAGTTATTACCTAATGTACATAATTGAATGAGCTCCTGGTACAGACAAACAGTTTATATATCCAGGTATTAAAACAACAAACAGAAATACAATTCCTAAAACAGTTTATATATCCAGGTATTAAAACAACAAACAGAAATAATATTCCTAAACAGTTTATATATCCAGGAATTAAAACAACAAACAGAAATACTATTCCTAAACAGTTTATATATCCAGGTATTAAAATAACAAACAGAAGTATTTTTCCTAAAACAGTTTATATTTCCAGGAATTAATACAACAAACAGAAATACTATTCCTAAAACAGTTTATATATCCAGGAATTAAAATAACAAACAGAAATACTATTCCTAAACCAGTTTATATATCCAGGAATTAAAATAACAAACAGAAATACTATTCCTAAAACAGTTTATATATCCAGGTATTAAAACAACAAACAGAAATAATATTCATAAAAAAGTTTAAAGCAATTTTTTGAAATAAAAACTAAGGCAGAAAAATTTAATGATTGAGGTTTTATTATAAAAAGATTTTATTTTATGTTAAGGGGGCTGAAAAGTTAATTTTAAGTGACCCTCCATGTTGAAAAGATTGAAATGCTCAGTTCACAACTCTACACTTGAAACCTTTATCCAATCATAATGTAGAAGAATTTGTCGCTTTAATAGATTTAAAAGTGGTTCCGATGATACCTATTTTTCCTTAAGTAGAAACCTTGTAGAGAAACCAAAAAAATTATCAACATTAATTCACACTGTAAAGCACATTGTGTTTTTTACATTTATTTTCTTGGAGGATTACAAAACATTAAGCTTACAGTCTCTTTAAAACCTTCTTTTTCTTAAAATGTGAACAAATTGAGAAAAATGTTTTGTGAATTTTTGTTGATATTTCGTTTGCTATTTTTGAATTTGAAGAATAATACCTAGTGCATATTTGTACATATTGTTACTCTTCTCCATTATGTACTGTAAAACAGGTACACGGTTTCTAATAGTTCCCCAGACGCTCTTGTTCTACATGTACAGAACAGTTCTCATGTACATACTCTCAGGATCGTGGTTTGAATTCAACTGATCAATTTTCTCTAAAGAAATTATTTAAGTTATAAATTGTCATTACTCAACAAATACTATATTTGAGTCGGAAAAAAAATATCCTTGTATCCTTGTTTACTTGTATCCTGGTATCCTAGTATCCTAGAATCCTAGTATCATTGTATCCTGTTATCCTAGTATCCTAGTATCCTAGTATCCTAGTATCCTAGTATCTATCTTAGTATCCTAGTATCCTAGTATCCTAGTATCCTAGTACCCTGGTCTCCTAGTATCCTAGTATCCTAGTATCCTAGTATCCTAGTATCCTAGTATCCTAGTATCCTAGTATCCTAGTATCCTAGTATCCTAGTATCCTTGTTTTGCGGTATCCTGTATCCTTGTTTTCTAGTTTCCTTAATCAAACGATAAACATTAAAATTTGTAAACTGTCTCTTCAGCAAAATATCTATGTTACATTCAAAGTAAAAATAATACTTTATAGGCTAAAATCTTTAAAAAACCTATAAAATAATCCGGCATTGCTTTTCACAAATTAGCAAGAGAGATAATTGGCTTTAAAAAGCTTTAGCATATCTTAACTATATAAAGTTGGAAAAAAACTTGTCTAAGGCTTATGCATAGTTTGGTCTACATTTTCTATTATTGCTAGCTTTAAACAATATGCAAATATAGAAATTGGATACATTGGGTACAGCGTTTTATTGTATATAATAGCTAGATGTGAAATAATAATAATGAAATATCTTGAGGATGGTTAAACGTTCTCTTTATTTTGTTTGAAAAAGAGCCATTTATGAATAACGCTGGGTAAAGTTCCGTTAACGAAACGGAGGTTTTCGAAAATTAACGGAAGAGTTCATTAACGAACGGTAAAGACAGAGAATCTTAAAATCATTAACGCCATTAATAAAATTTAGATCGTTGATAACGGTAACTTTAAAAAACGGAAAATACTTTTAACAAAACGAACGTTCTGTTTTTACCGTTAAAACTGATGGATAACTGAATTTTTTTCTTTTTTTAAGGTTTGGAACATAACAGTGAACGAAACGGCTAGATAACGTTAGAACATGACCAGCCTTAATTATGAATAAGAATTTTGAATTGTGAAAATGCGCCAATAAAAACGGCGAAATCCACAAAAGTTTCGTAACAAGCTTTTGCTATTGATTGCTAAACGAAGATCTGTAAACAAAATGAATTGAAATGAAAAAAATCAAAACGTTCTGACCTAACACAGTTAATAATTGTTCAAGTTGTTGGTAGCACAGCTCATATGCCACTGACTTAAGAGTGCATTGATTTAACGCTTTAGAAGCGTAATATGCAAATTGATTAGGACTGTTCAAATCAGCAGTTCAGTTGCACAGTAAGGCTGTTCAGAATTGAAAATATAATGCTAAGAAAAATCATGCCTATTTAAAAAAAAATTTATCTATTCAAATATGAGTTGACAAGGGGTGTAGGGAGGGGG